GGTTGTTTTCTTGATGCACACTTAACCTCTATATAAAACTCTCTCTTATACATGAGTTTCTGTGGATTTGTTTCTCTAAAGTACCCTGTCTACCACATATATAGACAGGGACTTCAAGAAATTCAGAGGAAAATTCCATTATCTTTTCATTCCATTTTCCCATGAACTTCTTAATAACATCTCATATTTGTCTATTTTATTGTCACAACAGTATATGATCAGAAAGAAAAAAGCACAACAGTATATGATCAGAAAGAAAAAAGCTGCATAGTGAGTTAGCTATAATGCCAAATTTATCATATTTTTATTATACTACGTTGTTTCAAAAAAAATGCTTATTTACAAGGGTTTGCTTTTGTTGACCTCTTTAGCACCTAAACCCTGAACGCCTCCCACACTGAAGGCATTCAGAGATTATTTACTGAATAAGTAACTCCAGTACAAAATTTTTTTGTCTTACTTCCAATCCTGAGCCTTCATTTGAGATCAGATCTACATAAATAGCAACTTGACCCCTACCACTTGATCAGATTAATAAATTGGAAAATCCTCTGATTTGATAGCAAAAGCAACTATTATAGCCTACTTCCATAATTTCTCACCCTAGGGTGGCTAATTTTCTTAATCCTAGGATAAGTTATTTATTGAGTGCGCGTTGAGTGAAGCACCGTTCTAGGTATTAGGATACAAAACTGTACAAGAAGAGGTCTCTTCCTTCTGAGACATCTTAATCATGTGGGGGAGATTATCTGGTAAATCACTGACGGAGTAGAAGGAGGAAAGTGCTGCTTATCCTCAGGATCTCAAAGGAAAGGTCATTAAGCTCAACCTAGGAGGTCTGGTGGTTTAGTGGTTATGCACTGGGCTGCTAACTGCAGGGTCAGCAGTTTGAAACCACCAGCCATTCTGAGGGAGAAAGATGGGGCTTTCTACTCTCATAAAGAGTCAGTCTTAGAAACTCACCTGGGCCACTCTACCCTGTCCTACAGAGTCACTATGAGTTGGCATCGCCTCGATGGCAGTGACTTTGGTTTTTTGGTTTTGGAGAGGCCAGAAAGTTTCCCAGAAAAGAGAAGACTTAAAAATGCGCTTTAAACAATCAACAAGTTTGTTTTCAGGAGAGAAGGAAAACAAGGGCAGGAAAAGAGCAGGAAGAGTGGAGATGCCCAGTGTGCTGTGCATGGACACTTAGTTCCATGTGGCTGGGAGAAGAGACTGCCAGTTATCCCGCAGTGCAGTACATACGATCAAAGGGTTTCTGACTGAGGTGTGCCATTGGAACTTTAGAAAGAATCCTTAGTAAATAGTAATGAATGATGAACGAAAATGTGAATGGTGAGCTTAATATGGCCTAAACAATTAGGAGAACTGTAGCTCTGAACAGAAGAATCCTGACAGAAAAATATTGACTTGCCCATTCATTTGCAGATTTGTACACTTATTTTTCTCACATTGAGTATATATGTGCACACTTTCTTTGTACTGGACAAAATACATAACAAGGAGCTAAACTGAAACAGTAGCACTCAAGACAGACAAGAAAAGTATAGCAGATAATTGAGAATACAGACTCTACCAATCTTATCTTTAGATAAGATTAAGTAGTGGGAGTAAGGAAGAGCAGTCTAGAATGATGCCCTAGGCTTTCTCATCAGAATAGAATTTGTTTTTCATGACATAATTTTAAAAGAAGCATATTTGAGAAAGTAAAAAATTAATAGTATATTGAAAATTCTGATTCTGAAGTGTTTCCATAATGATCTTGATGCAGACATCCAATGGGGCCAGGGTCAATGCCTTTGAGTCGATGTTGACTCATGTCGACCTGAAAGGACAGGGCAGAACTGCTCCTGTGAGTTTCTGAGGCTATGGCTCTTTACAGGAGTAGAAAGCTCAGTCTTTCTCCAGAGGTGCAGCTGGTGGTTTCAAACTGCTGATCTGACAGTGAGCAACCCGACTCGTAACCACTATGCCACCGGGGCTCCTGCAGACATCTAACAGTATGTTGATATACAAGCAAACAAAATCTATGCCTAAATAAAGCGTCCTTGGCTGAGGATGATATTTGGGAATAGTCAACACATAAATCAGAGGGGCATTTGAAGAAAGGAACATGAACAGGTCAAACAATGACAAGAGGAGCACAAGCTAGGGAAGTTGGGCCCCAAGAAGACACCAAAAGAAATGAATGGCTAAGAAAAGGGCAGTAATACAAATCTGAAATGGTATCACAGAAGGCAAAATAAGATTTTGGAGTTGGGGAGGGGGTAACAAATAACCAATAGAATTTGATGTTAGGAATAGACGAGGTAGTCTTATCGAGTATACATTCAGCAGATTGGTAAAAGCCACACTCTAAGAAACTGAAGAAAAATTGAAAAGTGGTAACAGAATTCATGGGCTTTCTCAACTGTGTAATGAAAAGATGATGGGTAAAACAAAAGCCGTAAGAGAATATGGCATAATGAAGGGGTGGTATAGCACCAATGAAGCATACAACTTACCTCCAGTTTGTTAGTGCTCGCGCCCCCACCCAACTATCATGATCCCAATTCTATTCCACAAATACGGCTAGACCAGAGGATGTACACTGGTACACATAAGAACTGGAAACACAGGGAATCTGGGATAGATAAACCCCTCAGCACCAATAGTAAGAGTAGCGATACCAGGAGGGGAAGGGGAAAGTGGGGTGGAAAGGGGGAACCGATCACAAGGATCTTCATATAACTCCATCCCTGGGGAATGGGCAACAGAAAAATGGGTGAAGGGAGACGTCAGACAATATAAGACATGACAAAATAATAAAAATTTATAAATTATCAAGGGTTCGTGAGGGAGGGTGGGTTGAGAGGGATAAAAACGAGCTAATACAAAGGGCTTAAGTAGAAACAAAATGTTTTGAGAATGATGACGGTAGCAAATGTACAAGTGTGCTTGATACCATAGATGGATGGATGGATGGATTGTGATAAGAGTTATACGAGCCCCCAATAAAATTATTTTTAAAAGAAAAAAAACAAAGAATATGGTGTGTGTGTGTGTGTTATATACTGAAGTATACGCCGATCAGAATATCCACCAGGGCACCTAATTTTACTGCAAAAACTGCATTAAAAATGTGCTGAACTGGGGGTGTGCAGCAGAACGGCAGGGGTAGCAGAACAAGGAAGTCCCAAGGGACTACCAAGGGTGGACTTTGGGGTCAGGGTGTGGCACCACATCAGACTCGACTGGAGAACACTCCTAAAGGTCAACGAACAGACCTTGAACTATTTGAAGGCTTTTCTTTTTTTGTCATTGATTTTTTGTGGTTGTTGCTTTGTTTTATTGCTTTGTTTTGCTCTGTCTTGTTTTTTGAGCATACTATTATCTCTGCAGGTCCATCTAGATAAAAGATGGGTGGTATAAACAATCTGGAAGAGAAAACAACTGGACCGACAGTTACGGGGGGATATGGGAGAAGGGGAGGCAGGGGGAAGGGAAGTGGGTGTGAACAAACGCAGGGACAAGGAAACAACAAGTGATCCACAATCAATGACGAGAAAGGTGTAGGAGGCCTGGTAGGGTTTGATCAAGGGCAATGTAACCGAGAGAAATGACTGAAACCCAAATGAAGGTTGACCATGATAGTGGGATAAGAGGAAAGTAAAAGTAAATAGAGGAAAGGACTAGGAGGCAAAGGGCATTTATAGAGGTCTAAATACAGGCATGTACATATGTAAATATATTTATATATGACAATGGTGAAATAGATCTATGTGCATATATTTATAGTTTAGTATTAAGGT